GCCTCTGCAGATGAAGGGCCGGCTGTGGACTCGGCTTGAGACATGGCCCAGATGGTGTTCCTGCCTCAGCCGGCCTTGAGGTTTCTGAGTTCTTGGTATATGAGGGAGTGGGTGTCAGGGGGTGATTGCAGCCCTACATTGCTTATAGATATTGTCAGGAATGGAAAGTGGCTCAAAGTGTGGACATTTGCATGGGCATGGCACTACATCATGGCACATACTTCTTGTTAAACTGGTGGGGATGAGTCAGGTGCAGTGCAGGAAGTGTCCCCACCTCCAGTGATAGTTTCTCAGGGGAATTCTGAGAGTGAGTTCAGGAAAGGGAACTGGGAGTATCTTTCTGGGGGCAGAAGACCCACATGGGAATATGCTCTACATTTTGAATTGCAATATGGAGCCCTCTGGTGACCTTCCAAACACACCCATGCCCTAATCCCTGGGACCTGTGAATGTGACATCATATTAAAAAAGGAAAGTTGCAGATAAGATTAAGCATAGTGACATATGGAGATTTTTCTGTCCTGTGTGAGTGAGCCTTAGATGTAATCATAACAATCCTCAATGAATGAAATGGAGAGAGATTTCAAACAGACACAGAAATGAAAGGCACTGTGACCCCCAAAACAAAGATTGGGGTGATGAAGTCAGGAGCCCAGGAATGCTGGTAGCTCTAGAAGCTGGAAAGAAACAGCCCTGCTAATGAGTTTTTGTTTCTGTTTAGATTTTTGGTGATGGCTGTGGAGGCCAGGGCTTCACGTATGCTAAGCAAGGGCTCTACCACTGAGCTCCATCCCCAGCCCTAGTGCTGCCTGTTTTATCACTGTAAGACCCATTTGGAATTTTGACATCTAGAATTTTTAGAAAATAAATTTGCAGTGTTTTAATGTGCTAGAGAAGAAAGAATCCTGGCACACTCTTGGTGGAAACATAAATTAGTACAGGCATTATGGAAAATGGTATGCAGGTCCCTAAAAAAACACATAGAACTTCTATATCATTCAGTAATCTCTCTTCTGGTCATAAAGCCAGAAGAAATGGAATGAGTACACTGAAATAGCATCTGCACTTCCATGCTCATTGCACCATTCACTGTAGCCAAGATATGGAATCACACTAATTGTCCTTGAAATGATGAATACATACAGAAAATGTGACAGATACACAGCATGGAAAACTATTCACTCATAAAAACAAAATCTTGTCATTTGCAACAGCATGGCTGAAACCAACATTATGGTAAGTGAAATGATCCAGGCACAGAAAGGCAAGTACTACGTGGTTTCACTCATATGTGGAATTGAAGAAGGTTAACCAAACAGAAGTTGAGAGTGTGATGGTGGATGCCAGAGCCTGGCGACAGTTGAGGGAGAGAGAGCTGGGGCGAAGTCAATCCACAGGTGCCAAGCTACATAGGAGAAAGGAACTCTGGTGTTCTATTACATGATAGGGTGGCTACAGATAATTTTGTTTATAAAATGAAAGCTTGAAAGATTTTGTAAAGGCTTTTACCATAAAAATAATAAATATTTGAGGAAATAGACATGATTACTCTGGTTTAAACATTATACAATGTATAGATATAGTGTAACAATACATGGCACTACATAAACAGGTACAATTTTTTATGTGTCACTTAAAAATTTTACAAAATGTGTGTTTTATCCCAGAACAATTTCAATCATTCATTACAGTGACAATGGGAAACTAATACAATCTATCAAAAGTGTGGTCTCAGTTTCTTTTAATAGCTAAGGAAACATGATTCCTATACAAATTCCTTATTCAACAGAGAACAGAATAATTTTGGTCTGGATGCACAGTGTCCCCTCAAGAGTGCTGGTTAAATGTCTGAAGCTGGCTGTGGTGAATTATTCAGGAGACCGAGGCAGGAAGCTCACTGAGATAAGGGGTACAGGGA